ATATTATATATTATATATATATATATAATATAAATGAGATATAATGTTCTAAAAATTTAATACAACAACAACAAGCCTTTTACCACTACGTGGGGTCGGTGGTTAAATGAATTCCTTTTTCTCTATGTGTGGGCTCCGAAAATTCGGTCCTCGGCCTCCACTCGCTTTTCTTATTCGGCGAGGGAGTTTTAACAAACTAAATCCGGGATAAATTTTGGAAGGCAGATGGATTTGTAGATAAAGACACTACCGCAGAGATTTCGGCCCTCATTTTGTGAGGACTTTTTGATCTGAGTTCTGGTTTCCTATAGGCGCAAAGCCCCTATAGTTAATTACCCTCCCGATCACAGAGAGAGAACTTTCGATTAAGGCTAGTCGTCAATCAGATACGTATAGAATACGTGTATCTGGCATTATAGTGCAGCATGGGTTTAGGATATGGTGAGAAATTGGATTTGGAAAATTGGAGGAATTTGGTTTGAAAGATTTGAAAGGTTTGAAAATCGGAATTGAAGAATTGTGTTGGATTTGTGGTTGAATATTAGAATAATTTAAAAATAGAAATTGCACCATCTTGCACTTAAAGCGGATGGTGGGGGAATGGATGATGGGCCACGATCAAGATCCATGGTTCCATCGTCCCGGGCCATCGTGGTCCTGTCTACTTAGTCAGAGGAGGTAGTCGACCCAACCTGACATAATGATACCTGTCGAGCAGCCATAGGTGCTCGTCAAGGGGACCTTGTAGACCTGGGGGGAGTGTTTGTCTTAAGGGGACAAATTTGAAATCCACCTTAGCTGACAGAGGGCTTTGTTTGCACGATCATATCCCTATTGATTCAAAGTATCTCAAGATTTTGATGCCAATAGACTAATGCAAAAGTCTATGGCTGTGACAATAAACCGTGGTTAATAATCTGTAACAGAAAAAGATGACTATACATATTGGCGGGACAGCAGCACCACTGTCCATTGCGCACCTGTTCGGTCAGAGGAACCCCGGGTCGTAACCGTTTATCCTACGGAGCCATTTGGCGGCCAAACCGCCGGTTAGAGGACACGTACACGTCCTTTACTGTGCAGAAGATGTTTGCAGAATGATCACCTAGTGATATTTCTCGACTAAGGCCAATATTTGCTCTTTGTTGACTAGAAGTTTATTTGAATCTTGTCCACCCCGGCAGAACTCTGTTTGCGGAAAGGTGGTCGGAAGATTTTGCTTTAATGTCAATATGATGGAATATATTTCATTTTTTAGAATATTTTGTGGATTTAGGGCTTTAGAGTTTGGATTCTGGTAGACACATGAAGTATGATGAATTTGATGATATTTTTTGTTGTGGAAACCCCTTACGGTTGAGATAGACAATCAACACGGCCATTTCATCTGGGTGCTTGTGGGGTCATTCCTCATTTGATGACATTTGTCGACCCTATCAACTTATCGATAGGGGGATCGGGGTTTCTCGTAGGCTTGTGTGCGCTTGTTTAATGAATTTTCTGTTATTTTAGGCATTGAAGGCCATAGAAAAGAATGGTATTTAAAACAAATACACTCGGTCACTACAACCGGTTGTACTATTTGATAGATTCGAACCATGTCGACTCCGATATTGATCTATATATGAAGATCGGACAGTTCATTTAGCTCATGCCTTTGTTGAATTGAGAGAACTTTCATTGTTGAAGGCCTAAAGGCCGAATATGATGTATAGACGCTCTCTGCTGCTTAACTCATGTTGCAGATCCGGTGGCGCTGAGATTTTTGGATTGTTAGGTATCATTCCCTCACATCTTAGATATTTTCTCAACCACTTTCTCATTTCCTTGGGGGTAGGATGTTCTGAATTTTAGAGTCAAATGCACTGTTGATTTGAGAAAGAAATCCTTTGGAATCGATTCAGATTAGCGAAGACACTGTTAATATTTTCCAAGAGTGTATTTTTGGAGTACCAAAGGCTGTTTTCTCCCTAAAGAATTTGGGGTCAAATTCAGCGTAAGAAACTGGTGGAAACCAGGAAGTTTGGAGTTCTAATTTGTTCAAACATTTTCCCTCCTTCTCTGCCTTCTGGCTCTTGGTGCTAGAGTTGGGTGATCTCTTTCCGTACATCGGTGCTGCCTTTGTACCCGGTGTATCTTGTAGATTTTGATCAGCCGCTGTCGTAGGTGATAATTGTTACTTGTGTCCACAGTGATTCGTTGTACAATACACTGTTGTTATCTCCAAGTAGTGTTTCATTCCATTGTAAGGGATCCGTACTGTGCCACACAGTGATTCATCGTATTTGCAACACACTTTTTTATCCACAAGTATTCATATGCATTTGTAGTAGGACCGCTGAATCCACTTACGAGCTTTTAGAAAAATGTTTGCATGGAGATTCATCCTTTCTGCATCATACCACCCTTCACCAATCTTCGGGTGGTTTGAATTGTACTTATTTGACCTGTAAGGGTCTCGTAGAGGAGATACCTGTACATTATGCCCACAGTGGTTCGTTGTCCTATGGAAGTACCCGCTGTTGTTGTCCTACAAGTATCATTTGCTGGAGATACCAGTTGTACCCGCTGACGACCTCCTAGGAAGTGTTCGTAGGATGACCTCGTTTTTAGCGCATCACATTCACTTCACCAACTCTTAGCGTGGTTCATAATGCTGACACTTAAGCTTGTAGGGATAGATTCTTTGGATGCTGGCTTGTCCCATAATTCGCAATCTGTGCATCTCGATCAAACAGGCATTTGTAGGAATATTCGTCGAGTAGGATTCTCAAATGTAATTTGAGTGTCTTGTCTAACTGTGCTATGAGTCCCCCAACCGTGTGCGATTCAAATTTTGATCCTTTGCATTGTTTTTGATCTAAAATCATGTTTCATTCAGAACTTTGAATTCAATCAAGTTTATAAGGTCCCACTCTAGTCGTCATAGCCCGATGTTCAAGTGCGAGTCAACTGCTTTGTTCGGATCCGGAATTCAGTCCAAATCAAAGTCTTTGTTTGATGTTCTAGTCTTGTTCACAGTTCCCTGCAGTCCTTGTGAAATTCAATTGCAATAGCTTCACCATTTGTTTCAAAGTCTTCTAGAGCTTTGTATTCATTTTCCAGTCAATTATAGATTTTGAAATGGTTCTATCAGTTTGCATTTCATTTCATTTTGAATATTGATCTTATTAATCATTTTGAGTTCATGAGTTCTGGTCCACAAGTTCACTGTTCTTCGTAAGGCTCCTCTGCTCAATTTAGTTCAAGTCTCTGTGTCTCTTCTGTTCAAAGTACATATCTTCTATATTGTTGAGCCAGGATGGATACAGAAGAATCTTTCAACATTTGTTCAAGTGTACTTTACATTTCAGTGCAAAAATTCGGCACGGGCACCGCCGGAATTATCCCCCTGTTTGGGGGAAAATAGGCGGAGCGACTGTCGGCCTTCCACACAGCTATCTAGAGGGCGATGTATACGGTAATGTGTCCTTAGACACTGTCGGCCGTACAAATTGTTTTATCTCCAAGGGATGTTACCACCGTACGATCTACCAGAGAGTTATCCTTGGATGAGCCCAGACAAGATTATCCGTCACGTTCTAAGACTAGTACATAGTCTGAAAGCACAACAGCAGTGACGTACCAGAATTAGCAGATGACCTCCCCAACCACGCTACAAGAGCGTGTATAGGTCTCCCACCTCGATCGACATTGCGGATCTAGTATTGTGCTTACCGGAGGGCTTCCTCCTACCGGGGGCTACAAAGAAGCGCGATATAGTGGGTTTCGTCCGGGGCGCGCTGCAATACGTCGAGACTGGGATTTTGGACCATCATATACCTTTTGCGTAGCAGTCCGGCGCGATGTCGTGTCGGGTCGGGACCGTTCCCACCACGACAAAGCGTATAGGCTTACCCGTCTCGTTCGTATGCTTCGCACCGGTCCCTCCTACCGTGCTACCAAGAGCGCGTATAATCTCTCGCATATATATACATTATATATTTGTGGCTATGTTACTGTAGTAGAAATCGGGAAAGTTGTTAGGCTCTATAATTGAACACTTGAACCTAAAAGTCTTTTTTTGTATTGTTGTTGAATCCAAACTGGCAAATCTTGGGTCTTGTTTTGGGATTTTGACAAACTATTGTTTCTCTTTTTTAACTATAATAAGGACCTCAAAGAAGTATAAAAAATAATATTATTGGTTTACAAAATTCTGATTTCCTTTCAAATATATGCAATTGATTGCAAGTTCTTTGAACCTATTTTTGTGATTTCTATCATTTTGCTTTTCATCTACATACTTTGTCATTGATTTTTGTGTGATCGTGTTTTCATGAAGTCTGATGAAACTTGGTTTTCTTTCTTGCGTTGTAGGTCCTAATCACCGTGGGGTTTTATTTTAATGTAAAATTTTTTGCAATTATTGATTTACTTAATGGTTTGTTCATTCAGACTTATAAAATTATTTGTTAATACAAGAAGCTAATAATTCGTTTGTTTTCTTAGCTTATTTATTTGCTCCTTTAAGTACTCACTTGATTAATTTATATATAAGACCAAGCTCAACTATAAAGAAATCTAAACAAGTAAAAAAATATATGTGAATACTAAGCTTGACCTCGAGCTAAACATGAATAACATTAATATGACTAAGTCATGTGCAATCCATGATGTGCTCTGCTCTGGTAAGCTCAGCTCAAATACAACCGTGCATATTAAACAAGCAAATAAAATTTGAATTAAATGGTTAGGAAGGAAAATATATCGACCTATGTTAATATTAATTAAAAAGTTGCAAAGTTGTCAAAAATGATTTGCAAATAGTAAATTTAACAGCGCTAACATTATTTTTTAGGAACAAATGAAAAGTGGAATTTCATGAAGATAATTCCAAATAATTGGGATATAACTACTGATGATGGGATTCAAAACACCTTCCATTTTGATCTTGTTAATCACAATCTTGGAGTGGAGTACATCTTTCTCACAAATAATATAAAGTGGTATCTCCGAAGATATTATGGTCATGCATGATTTTATAGGTTATTCATTTGATTTTTGAGCTTTTTTTTCTATTTATTGAAGGAAAATTTAGTGTAAAATTTCATTATAACACATATTTATGTATGACTTCTCTGAAATTTAAATAGGGTGCCAAGAGCCAACTCTCCATGATTCAATTGCTGATTGGATGTAAATATAAAGTATATATTATTCTGCAAAATATTGATTTAGCATTATTGCAGTATCCTTACTTTATTCAGATTGTTTTATTTGAACAAATCAAAAAAGTTTTGAACCTCCCAATTATATTTAATACTATTTCATTATTGTGAGAGACTTATCCAATGATAAATTTATGCCTGTTTAACCTCACCACTGCCCTATTGTTACATGCAATAGATAGGATATACCTTCCTGCCTTGTGTTCTTTCTGGACTGAGCAGAGCTCCTCAATATTTAGTGAACTGGCAAGGCTCTTCTAATGATGGTTGTATAGTGGCTAGTGATATTGACAGTGTGATTCTTCCTATTGATGCTTGTGGGGGTGATGCTGTTCTTGCTTTTGCCAGGAGCATAAGAAGAAATAAGGTACTCAGCTCTTTGTGTGGTTTATTAAGTTGAAACAATTTGATATATATATATTGGCGCATATTGTAGGGAAGTTAATGAAAATGCTTTATATACATAGTTATCGTTCGCATGCAGCCCCTCATAATAGCTGTTGAGGAGAATGAAACAGTGCTTGATGACACTCCTGAGAAGCTTGGCATTCAAGCAGTATGCATTTTGATACTTCTACAAGCCTATCTTGATTTAAGTATCATTCGTTTGGAACAGGTTTCTTTTATTGCATTTGTAGCGAAATATTTAGCTAGGCAAAACAGGTTTCTTTTAGATTACAAAATTGTTCATTATTTTTTACTGAAATTTCTCAAATTTGTTAAAAAAAATTTATTTTTATAAAGCGAAGTAGTAATTGTTTTTGAAAAAGACAAAAATATCAGCAGTGAAAACAGAAAAACACAACTGCATCAAAAGACTATTTTTTTGCTATCAGAATTTTTAAGAAGCTGTCTTTGAGGCTTCGTTTGAGATGATTTTCTAGCTAACTTAGTGAAGGATAAAAACAGCCAACGAGTCCGTTGGAATAATACATTTTCAGTGTCTTTAAATTTATTTTTTTCCCACAATACTTCCACTGTGCAGCCACCCTACATAAACTCTGAGAAAATAACTTTTAACAGCAATAACAGAAATCTTAAATTTACCCGACGAAGTAAAAAATAAACTCTAGAAAAATAGGGAGAAGTCCAATTTTCGTCCAAGCATATTAACTTTTTTCTTATAAAAAAAAAAAAAAACAATTAAAAGGCTAATTCAAGATCAGAGGCTGTGATTGCACTGATCCTCACTTTCCTTGCCAGGTCAGGGTAAAAAATTACTGGGAAGCTGTGGGAGTCGTTGCAGCACATAAGGCTGGAGTGGAGCCGAAAGCCCTCAGGAGAGAAGGAATTGATAGGATTAAGTATGCTACACTCTGATCTTCCAATGCTTCTTTGACTGCCTTACTGTAATTTTAACGCATTATTTTACTCTCTTAAAACTTGTTTTCTAAATTTCTCGATTATTAATTATTGATCACCTCAGAACCTATAATCGATAGAAATAATAGCTTAGAAGAAGAAGAATCAGATGCCCCTTAAATCTGATGAAATTTAATAGCTTAATAAATTTAGCTCATGAGTATGTCCTCGTGATGACTGGCTTGAAAGCTAGCTTTAGATAAGAGCTTGAAGGATATATATATATATATATATATATATATATATATATATATTATGTGTGTGTTTAAATTTTGAAACCACTTAAATTCTTACTGTTACCTATCTTTTTTTCATGGCTTTGCAATAACTGATTTTTTCTGCTTTTAGATTCTCTTGCACAGTGAGGGGTTTCAAGTGCTTTTTCACTGTGTAAATTTGGACTTATAATTTCTCATTTGGAGTAAAACTTAAATTTGGATCTTGTACTGTTATATTTTATGTAAGATGTAAACTGAGTTTTAGAGTTATGTTTAGTTGAATATAACTGAATTTTAAGGATGCCTATATATGAAATTGAATGTGCATTTTAATGCTTAAATTTTTTTTTTTATCTTTGATTGAGAACTTTGGATTTGAGATTGAGGCTTATGAAATGACACTTAATAAACCTTGAATTTAAAGATTGCTCTATGATGAATGTATAACTATGGTATTAGAAAGTTATGAATGTGCTGACATTATCTTAAAAGACAAGTGTTGTATCCAAATCTCTTTGTGGATGATACTTGATTTTACTAACATACTAACATGCCAACTGTATGAGGGGTGATCTGGAACCTATGTGATAATAGATAGAAAATAATATATTGAAGAAAACCTATAGAAAAATGCGTAGGTTGCTCAAAATCTCACTCAGTTAAAAGATGGAAAAAATTTAAAATGCTTAATTTTATCATTTATTTATAGGGATTCCAAGGATACCTAAAAGACTTTATAAAAAGAACTTCATAAAAAGAATAAAGAATATTTTGACTTAAGTGACTTTCAGTACACACTACTTGACACATGTCATCTTATGATTGGTTGGAGGGGAAGGTGTTGAATGACTTTTGATAATTTGGCTTTGGGCCAGTTAAGTAATGCCGATGTAAGAATCACCTGGTCCGGTTCAATTGAACCGGACCCCTACCTAAAAAGGTGAGATGGCCAAGAAATGCGAGACTAGGGAAGGCATAATCAAGCTCGTGCAAGTAGGCAAGCAGCGTGGTTGCATGAATGCTACGTCTATAAGAAATATTTACGTTTCACTTCATCCTGTCATGCAAAACGAAAGAAAACGAGTTGGAGAGCAAGAAAAGAGAAGAGAGGGAAATTGGAAGAGATATATATTTTGTAAAAGGGAAAGTTGGAGGAGATTATTTTTGTCGAGATTGTTGATTGATTTAGGTTTGGCGAGAAAAAGAAGAAGGAAGAAGGAATTTGAAGTTTTATTTTTGATAATAGGGAAAGTGTAAGTTATTTAATTTTCTTATTTTCTATTCAAGTTTAGAAAAAAAGATTCATATAATTTTGCTTATCTGATTGAAATAATGATATGTAATTGTTTAATGGGAAGAATTTCAGTAAAGTGAAAGTCTTCTCTCGATTCAGCGAAGAAGGAAAGAAATATTTATTGCGATATTTAAAGTGATTTAAGAAAAAGTTAATACAATAGTATGTTTGAGAATAAAAGTATATGGTGTAATAGAAATTGTGGGTTGACGATTTAGAGCCATTCAAAGTTAAGTTAATGATGTTTAACTAGTTAAAAATCTTCTTTGGCAATGTTTGAAGTAATTTATCTTGTCTTAAGTAATGTAAGAAATACTTGATGTTGGTTTGATGATATTTGAGTCATCCAAGTTAAATTTTAGTATTAATTAAGATATCATTAATGTTATTTTAAACAGTATTGGTAGTCTGAGAAAATTCTTGAAGGAAGATAGGTGTTGTATTAATGAAGCCTATTTCAAAGATCGAGTATTTGGAGCGATCTACACACATGAATTAATCAAGTGTTACAATAGTTTTATAACAATTACATTTTCCTTTTATTTGTAATGCAATTATTGCATGTTATAGCATTATGTTGACTGAATGTTTAAAGTATAAAATGAATTAATTGGGATGGATAACGTGAATGATTATTTTAGTTAGAGTGACTTCATTATCTTTATTTTATTGCTATTATTTAATATTATATCATACTCAAATACTTTTTATAGTAAAATGCTTTATGTGCAACAAAGTTTAGAATGATTGAATGATAATCACCTTAATGATTTATATGAATATTAAAAATAAAATAAGCTAATTGAATATTTCTTTGAGAATGAAAGTATTAAAAGAAGAAAAAGTATGTATGCAAGGAAATACAAGAGTTCACTCTTTTATGATGCTGAATAAGGATGTAATATACTCGTGTACGTTAAATAGGAATGGAAATGGATGTATCTTCATTGGTGTAAAATTTTAGTTGGTGCTCTTATACAAAATAGAAATGAAAAAAAAGAATAAATGAAAATGAAAAATTAATAAATAAAATGGAAAAAGAAATAAGTTATTTGAAAGACATATAAGAAAAATTTACAACATATGAAATATTATGGATATGTTATAGCATGTCAAACGTAATGAATATGTTAACTGTAAGAGAAAGGCTGAGAAACATGATTACTGTTATGCATGTTTAATTACTATATTACAAGCTATGATTTTTCATTAAGTTTACTATGTTAATTCAAACTATTAAATTGAAATTTTAGGTAAATGTTTTAAAAAATAAAACTGTTTGAATAGAACAATATGTCTACAGAAGAAAGAGATTGAATGAAAAAAGGTAAAATTTGGTTTATGTATATGTTAAATTTTTTAAATTTGTTAGAGGCTCTTCAGTTTTATGTGGGATATTAGTTTGTTAACTATTTATGTATTTGAAAGTAATGTACTATTCTTATGACAGTCTATTCCTGCCTCCTTAATTTGATTCTTCATGCTGGGTCATGACAAATGTGGTATTAGAGCCCAAATATAATATGAATCATATTGAAATGCTACAACTCCTCATATACTCATGATTGAGTTTAAGAATGTTGAAACAGGATCACGTAAAGGAGCAAAGTAACACATTAAAAAATGAAACGCTACAACTCCTCATAAGAGATATCTTCGTTTCACTTCATCCTGTAAAGCCAAATGAAAGAAAACGAGTTGGAGAGCAATAACAGTGAAGAGAAGATATATATTGTAAAAGAGAAAGTTGGAGGAGATATCTCTGTCGAGATTGTCAATTGGTTTAGGTTTGGCGAGAGATAGATGAAGGAAGAAGGGTTTAGGAGTTTTTATTTTTGACAACAGAGAATGTGTAAGTTATTAATTTTCTTATTTTTTATTCATGTTTAGAAAAAAAATTCTTATAATTTTATTTGTATGACTTAAATATTGATAAGTAATTGCTTTATATGAAGAAATTCAGTAAAGTGAAAGCATTATCTCAATTCAATAAAGAAGAAAGAAAGATTTATTGAGATAATTATAGTGATTTAAGAATAATTTAATTTCATATTATGAATCCCAACAAGGTGTTCTTTCCATGTATGGGTAGTTTTAGCTTGTTTTGTTCCACTCTTCTTTGTTGTGCATTATTGAGGAAGGTTTCCTTATGATGCCTTTTTCTAGTTGGCACCCATTGTATATTTTTTTGAGTTTATTTTAATGAAAATTAATTTTCCAAAATAAAAATAGAAAATAAATAAATAAATAAATAAAAGTGTCTCTTACCTTATAGACTTTGGAAATTACACTTTGCTTTATAATTTATTAAATCTTTATTTACTTTGATTGCATATTAAAAATTTTCTACTTTTGGTAGGTTTCTTTCTTAAATGTGCATGTGCCTAATTATTTTTCGTAGATTCTTAGAAAAAAAAAAAAAACTTTTTCTACTTATACCAAAATAAATTTTTTAAGATAACTTACATAGATAATCAGACTACAAAGAAAGCTAGAGCTCATTTAGGGCATAAATGCATATCCATTCTTCTCTCCATGTTAGGCACCTCCCTATATACTAGTAGAAATATACCATCCAACATATGAGCTATAGATATATTTCAGGGGAGGCTTGTTCCTAAGGATAAAAAATATATTTTCCAAGCCTTTTTAAATGTTCACATACTAGTTTTTAAATAAGAGTCAATTTGTATGCCTTGCATTAGAAATAAATTGAGGAAAATTAAAATTTAATTATATTTATTTCTTGCTGCATAATCACTATTTATAAATTCAGGACCACTTAGGATTTTTCTAAATGTTAGTCTTACATTAAAAAAACTTAAATAATATCCACATACCTATCTTTTTATAAGACCATACAATATAATTTTAAAGCGATTAGGTGGTTTAGCTGGTAGTCTATTTGAGGCAATATGTTAGTTCAGAATTGTACTTCATTAGATATGTTCGGATTGCTAGTTTATTGTTCCTAACTTAGATCTAGTTTTTGAGGAAAACATCAAATCATAAGTCCTTATTATTCATGAATATAATCCAATATATGTAGTAAAATGTTAACTAAAATATAAAAATCTCTCCATAAAATATTAAAAGTCTAATATAGGATAGATTGGAGTGCTTCTAGGTGGTATAAGAATTTTATTACTCCCTACCTTTAATCCTTTGTTATCCATAAATAATGTTCAACATTGAACCAACCCCCTTTAAAAAAATCCAAAACTTCTTATTCTTAACTTAATCATTAAACGTAAGAAAATATCTACCACTACTTTAATTAAGAGTATTCTTAGGAGGTTTACCTCTCTTGAAATGTAATTAAACATAAAGGTTTGTCTTTATAGGGAACATGTAACTTTAGATTAAAATAAACCCTACTTATTAGGATAGGGAAAAAAATATATTGGAACGTAAAAAAATTAGAACTCATTTATATATTCAAATACCACTATAGAATGTCATGATTATCCTTTAAGGTGATGTGACATTTCTAAGGGTTTCAACTTACAAGAATGGAAATTTTTTCATCTTTCCTAGATTACCTTATCCAAGTAAGTTTGAGATGGAGTCATCTTTTTCTATTCTAGAGATGACTAAATTTCATAGAAGGAACAAGAACCATCATTTGAGGAGAAGGGTTGAGAAAGCTAAAATACTTGAAAAGAATAACCCGATG